GTAAGCTGGAATCATGAGTTAATCTATTTAATTAGTCTCTGGTCTCAGAGTTTTTTTTTCTTTTTCTTTCAGGTGTTTAATTAAGGAGCTTTAATCAGAAGTACTTTCATAACTAGCTTTTTGGTAGAAACTATAGTTTCACTACCAGGGAAAGGGATTGGGATTAGCACCTCCGAGTTCCTCATTTTTTCAGGGTCCTGCCCCCCTAGATTTATCCTACTTTGAATCACATTTCCCGCCTGGACTAGTAGGCATGACTGAAAAATGGGTGGGAGGAAAAGGACAGAATGGAAAGAAGACCCTGTGGAGAATGGCAGACAGAATTAGGGCTGTTTGACCTAGAGAAAGGGCAGGCGCCTGTTCTCAAATCATTTCAAGCATGTCATGGGGCAAAGTGAGTAGAGACTATAGAGTCTCAGACAGAAGAACTAGAAAAAAATGAGGTGGGAAAAAGGAGAAGAATTTCCAGGAGCCAGATTTCAGCTTAAAACAAGGAAAACACTCTGATTATGAGAGCTGCCCAACAATGCTGTGGGCAATGAGCTCCCCTCCCTTTGGAAAACAGAGATTTAGTTGAGAGACCTGACAGCCACTCATCAGATACAAAGGTTGGAACTGATTCACCAAACAAGGTAAATTTTGAAATCCCACCAACTCTAAAATTTTCAGATTCTGAGAACCTAAGAAACAATAACCAATTTCATGGAACTCCCATAGCTTAAGGAACAGCTAAAAGGAGTCAAATCAGAAATTCATGACCTGTTCCTTTATCTTGCCTATGTTTTTCTTTTCTCTTTCTCTTGGTCTTTTCTGAGCTCACTGGCTTGCTCTGTCACATAGCAGGAACTGTTGACATTTTGCAGGGGATAATCTTTTTCTTTTAAGTGTGTATCTGAATCAGCCTTTGCTCCTTCAGCATTATTAGAGAATCTGGGCTCTCTGGAGGCTAGCGCTGGCCTGTCACCACAGCAACTACCCAAGTCCTGTGGGCATCCCTGGTAACAGGCATAAAGTGTTGAGAGCCAAAGCTTGACTTGTGGTGAGAGGAAGCCCCACAGGGAAACTGACATGAAACAAGCACTTTGTGTTTGGGGAGGCTTTCTTTTTTAATATGATTAGCTGTGTGGGTGGGCCTCACTTTACACAGTTGGCCAGTGTGTTTGTGTGTGTGTGTGTCTCAATTTTGGGAAATGAAAGAAATCTTAATTTATAGACAGAAAAGAGACTGGCTTTTCAACAAGCCCCTGTGGTGAATCACCTTCGTAAAATAAAGTCTTCTTTTGTAAAGTGAATTTCCACCCTTATTGTGACCTGCCCATTCATTTAGTGCTGAGTGTCTGTAAAGTGGGGATCATCTGCAGAGAAACTCAGGAGCATGCTTCCACCTTCAAGGGCAGAGAACAGCAGCAGCTCAGCTTGCTTGGGGCTGGGAATGTTGAGTATAATGAGGAAGAAATGAGTGAGTGTGGGGCCACAATGAGAGGGGTCACAATGAGGGGGTCAGGAAGGTGGGCCTCCCCTAGCATGAGCAGTTTTGCTGCAGCAGTGGTGGGGTGTCTGAGAGACGTGTGTTCTTGGAGGTACCCAGCACAGAGGGGTCCGTGTCCAGTGAATCAGACATCTTGTTGCAAATGGCATCCACCAGGCGTTCAAAGGCCTGCCTCACACTGATGTTCTCCTTGGCACTGGCTTCAAAGAAGTCAAACCCTGGGGAGAAAAGAGATACAGGTTAAGGACTTTTCCCTTTCCCTTTGTGCCCCTATCCCTAGGACTCCAGATTAATACAACCTAGCTTTGGTAGCATAGTGCCTAAGGCACTTGACTGTTAACGAGAAGCCTGGAGGTTCAAACCCACCAGCCATTCCTCAGAAGGAAGGTTGGGCAATCTACTTCTGTAGTGATATGGCCTTGAAAACCCAAGGGGGGTCTCATGAGTCAGATCTGACTCGATGGCTGTGCGTTTGGTTTTGTTTTGGTTCATGTTCTTGAAGAGGAACGCTGGTGGCATAGTGGTTAAAGCGCTTGCTACTAACCAGAAGATAGGCAGTTTGAACCCACCAGTGGCTTTGTGGGGGAAAGATGAGGCAGTCTGCTTCCATAAAGATTTAAAGCCTTGGAAACTGTAAGGGACAGTACTGCTCTGTCCTATAATGTCACTAGGAATTGGAATCAACCCAATGGCAGGGGGTTTGCTCTTGCAGAAGTCCCTGGGTGCTGTAAGTGGCTAACTATTTGGCTGCTAACTGAAAGACTGGTGGTTTGAGTTTACCCAGAGGCACTGCAGAAGAAAATCCTGGCAATCAACTTCCAAAATGCCAGCCATTGAAAATTCTATGGAGCACAGTTGATTCCATAGCAACTAGTTTGGTTTTGGTTTTGGTGCTCAGGAATGGAGCAAGGAGGCCTAATTCCATGGACAGAGAATTGCACTTCAAGAAGGTAGTACCTGGTAGGGGTTACTAGCACTGGCTTTAGCGTCAGAGAAAATGGGGCCCTATCACTGACCAGTTGTGGAACCGTGGGCAAGTCTGGGATAGAGACTTACTTACTCTCTCTGGTTTGTAAATAGCGATAATATTTCCTACCTCATAGAGTTATTTCAAGGATTAAACAAGACGATGCATGTAGTATATGGCCCTGTGCATGGCACAGAGAAGGGTCATCAGGTGTTTGCTGAAACAGTGAATATATAAATAGGTGTGCATAGCACTTTACAGTTCCCAAAACATTTATCAAATCCATTATCTTATTTGATCCTCATGTTACCCCTGGGGAAGGGGGTGGCTGGTAGGACACTCTCCATTTCACTAATGCAGACACTTTGGCTTAGACAAGGAAACTGGCTTGCCCAAGTAGAGGCACTGATATGAGAAGGCCAGGATTTGGCCTTTTAGGCAACCAGGAATTTTCTTCCTCTGTCCCTGCCACTCACTCACCCTGCCTGGCCAGCTCTAATCTGGGCCCTGGGAGGCACTCCAAGATCCATACTAAATAAGAGAAGCTTCATTTACTCTTCCCACCCACAGACATACTGGCTCATCCCCACTCAACAGAGTGCTTCCTCCCTGAATTCCATTGAAATTGCCCTATCTTCCCCCCCACCCCACCCCACAGACCCATAAAAAGGCCTAGGGAAAATTGTGCCTGAAGTGGGAGATTTACTTGTCTATGTTGTACCTCAAGATCCTTAATGCATTTTCTGTGACAATAAACAGAACTTGGTTGTCTCAGGAGACACAAGCAAAGGCCCTCCTGATTCGGAGTGGCTGCTTCCCACCTGAGGATTCTTAGCCAGGTGGTGGCAGCCCTGAGAAGTACAAGCTGTCCCCTCCATCACCCCCTGGCCCAACCTACTCCCTCCTTTTTAGTCCCGTAACTTTCCTCTTTCCCTTCCTTCCAAGCATTTCTTCAATTCTCTTCAAAAACCTCTCTCCTCTTTTGCTCATTTGACTCCTTTTTTCCTTTATTCCACTCATAGTTCTCCTTGGGACCCCTAAAGTAGGTGCTTTATTAAGCACCTACTATATACCAGACACTGTGCTAGGAGCTTCACAAATATCATCTTACTCGACCCTCACACAGCCAGTTGGGTAAATATTATTATCTTCAATTTATAAAGGAGGAAATGAAGGCTCCAAGAGATTAAGTACATCACACAAGGTCACATGGCTGATTGATGGGAATTGAGTTTATACTCAGGTTTGGCTGGCTCCAAAGTCCATACACAGCCCTTCTTCCTCTTTCTCCTTTTCACTTCCCATTTTTTTTCCTGGTCGTATCTTTTTCTTCCTTTACAAGTCTCTTTGGTCTCCTTTGCTTTTATGTGACTACCACAGTGTCTGAGTCTGAGCAAGACACTTTGCCTTTCTGAATCACTTAACCTCGCTGAGTCTCAAACTCTTCGTTTGTCAGGTGGGAATAATAACACTGCCTTCCTGCTGAGAGCAGTTGGGAGGATTGAGTGAGATGATGGATAAATTGCTGTACAAAAGTTGCCTGTTATAATGACAGTTTCTTTCATCTTGCTCCTCCCACCTCCTCTTCATCTCTTTCTCCCTTTTAGCATTTTCTCCTACAAAGGAGAGCCTCTCTTTCCTCCTCCCTCCTGCCTTCCCTATTATCACATTGTCCACAGAGAGGGCTGAAGTCCCAATGTAAAAAACAAGACTTCTCTTCCCCCCAGTGCTTCCAGCTTGAAGGCACTCCCAGTTTCTGCCAGTTCCAGTTGATTGACAACCTCTCGTGGGGCCCATTTCTGACCTGAGAAAGGCAAGCTGCAAAAGTGTCTGCTAACTGCAGACATGTGATGAAGAAGGAGGCAGCTGCTGGGTTATTATCCTCAGGCCACAGGAGCCCAGTCTGCTTCAGAGACCACCCCCCCCCCGCATGTAGCTTTTCCTCAATGAATATCACAAAGATTGACGGTCAGCTTAATAACTGGTTTATCTCAAGTGTGGAGTTGAGAGAGAGCTATTGCTTGGCTAGGGAAAAAGCAAAAAGGTCAAAAAAGCAAAGAAGCTTAAACCATTTGTTTAAATGAAGATGAAGCCACAGGTCAAGGGCAGAGGCACAAATGTTCTCTGAAGAATTAGTACTGAGGGAAGGACCTGTCCCTCTGTACAGGTAGGACACCAGGAACAGGCCCAGGAGTCAGACTGCCTAAATTTGAATATAGTCTCTGTTCACTAGTAGCTATGTGACCTTGGGCAAGTTGTCTAATCTCTCTCAGCCTCCATTTCTTCATCTTTAGAATGGAGTGAAAATGACCTACCTCACAGGTGATAATGAAAATTAAATGTGCAAAAAATGTGATTGGCATGAGGAATATGTGGTAGTTCTCTTTCCCTTATGTTCTTAACCCACCCTTGGTCCATTCCTTGCCCCTCTATGGTCTCCTATGGTTATTGGGGAGACTTTCTTTATCATTCATGGTCACTCAATAAACCAAGTATTTATTGAACATTGACTTTTGTGCTGGGTGCCAGGGACATAAGGACCCCAAATCAAGTTGTGGAGAATAAGAGTGTCAATCCTTTACATCTGCACAGTCCTTAACAGTTCACAAATACAATTTTAAAACAACTTTGTGAGAGGGCTGGAGCCAGATAAGAGTTATCACTCACATTTTACAAATGAAGAAACTGAGGCCAGAGATGGGGCATAAGCCAGATAGTATCACTTATGCCTCCTTGACTTATTCTCAGTTGGAACAGTGAAATAACAAACTATAATACTTTAATCCAGGTAGAGAAAACCAGAGGAAGCTTCTTGGATTTAGTGAGGACATGGACATTTAAGGCCAGAATGAGTAAAACTCCTTTTTGCCTAACTGATTTCTTCTCATCCTTTAGGACTCACATTAGACATGGCCTCTTTATTCTCCTCTGTGCTTACCTCTGCCATAGCATATACTACCCTACATGGAAGAAATCCATTTGACAGAGAGCTCTCTGAGCAGGAACTATGCCATTCACCTGAGCTTCAGCACCAGCCAGAAGAGTATGTGCTTGGTGAGTGCTGATCGAATGTATGGATGAATGAGGAAGGAGGTGGGAGTGGGCATGGAGAGTGTGTTTGAGGAGATGTGGACAGTGAGGCGGTGAAACTCAGCCCAACAAGGATGGCAGACCTTGTGCTAGGCATTGAGGTGAATCCTACCCTTGAAGTTCCTACCCTGAAGAGCTCCTAGCCTAGTGTGGGAGATGGATACACAAACGATATTGTAGTGATACGATATTATAATGATAAGTCCTGGAAAAGTGCATTATCATAGCACAGAAGAGGTACCAACTCATCCTCAGGGCCAGGGAGATGGCTTGGAGAAGCAGACACCTAAGCAGATGTCAGCTAGACAAAGACATGATTGTGAGTGTGTGTGTGAGCGCAAGCACTTATGGCACACAGGCAGGGGAAATAGCACGAGCAAAGACAAAGGGCAAAACACAGACCCCTTGGTATACGCCAAAAGGACCATTGTTGTTGCTGTTGTTAGGTGCCATCAAGTTGACTCCAACTCATAGCAACCCTATGTACAACAGAATGAAACATTGCCCCGCAATGTGCTGTCCTCACAATCCTTACTATACATGAGCTTATTGTTGTAGCCACTATGTCAATCCATCTTGTTGAGGGTTTTCCCCTTTTTTGCTGATGCTTTGCTTCATCAAGCATGATACCCTTTGCCAGGGAACGGTCCCTTCTTACAACACGATAGTAGTTTAAAATTATTAGAGTAAAAAACTCAAAATGGTGAGAGATGATGAAGTAGATGACCAAACATGGAGAACTCATAAGTTGTGCCTAGGAGGTATCTTCACAGTCATCTCAAACATACCTAGAGTATGAGAACTATGATTCAAATAACCAGCTCATAGGTCTAACTAGCTCATGGGTCCCTTTTGCTAGCAGAATAACCTCAAATGTACCCCTATCCAATTATTGTCAGACTCCTTGAAAGCTTTTTATCAGTAGGCCCAGACAGTAACCTTTTCCTCAGGTCTACTAATAAGAAATCTCAGGAGCTGAGAATCTAGTGAGGTTAGGAAGATAACAACCAATTAAGAAGACTAGCCCTGAGCCCCTCCCTCCCTCTAATTGGCCTCAGAACAATGAGATTTCTGCTGACTTTATTAGGGCCCTATTCTTAACTGAATCTGAGATGCAGCCTCTGAATAAAAGAACAATTATGTTTTCTTCTCCAGTCCAAA